TACATGGAAAATAGCTATTATGGATAGTTTCTTATAAAATTACTGACAGAAAGAACATATTAAATAATAAACACATTATAATATTAAAATCTTTAAGTAAATATTAAAAAAAATATTTTATTTTTAAAGTCGAAAATAAAAAAAAAGATAAATTTTATTTTGAGATTTAATTATAAATAAATGAAGAAATTATAAATAATATAAATTAACCATATTAAACAATATGGCCTGTTTATGATTTAGCATTAGACAATTATTTTAAACAAACAATTCATAAAATATATTAATATAAAGACTCAAACTTATAAATAAAAGATTAAATAAAAAAATATAGCTTTCTGATTTTTAAACCTTAAGATGCTTATTAATAGCTATCAAATTTAGATTTAATAAGTATAGAAAAAATAAAGGAAAAATTAAACTTTTTAATAAAGCATTATATGAATATAAAATAAAAAGAAAATGGATTCAATATAATATTCGACCCAGAAAAAGACTAAATAAATTCACTAATATTAATTCCTTTAAAAAAAAAGCTTGAAAAAATTCGAAAATAGAAATTATAGCTTAAGACTTAAAAAAATATAATTGTTTTATTGAAAAGCTTTTATTAAAATTTATATTTTTGTAATTATTAAATTAGTTAATAAAATTAAAGTCTTTATGATTCTTTGGAAAAAAGAAGTTTGGAAAGAAATTAAGTTCATATAGATAAAAAAATAAATTAACTTATAATCGAAAAACCAATAATATTATCATTCATAAAGAAAATTGAAAAAAATAAATATTTTTATATTACAGTTAAGTTATGTTTAAAATAAGGATATAATATTTTAAAAAGTAAAGAAAGTTAGAATTTCTCATTTTTTATTTAAGGAAAAAATCTTAAGTCCTTTAAAAATTTATATCCAAAAGAAATTAATATGGAAGATATTTTAGAAAATAAAGGAAGTTTATTTTATTTTGTAAAATATGTGAATAAATTTATTATAAGTGATTATATAGAAAAGAAATTTTGTAAAAAATTAATTAATTATTTTGATAGAATTTTATAATTAGAAGTCGAAGATAAAAACTCTAGATAATTATATGAATATAAATTATAAAATTCATTTTTTTAATCAAACAAATTTAAAAATTATATATAAAACTTTACAGAAAATGATGATAATTATAGTTATTTAAATAATTTTATTTTATAAAGTATTATTTTTTAAAATTTATAATAAAAAAATTAACTCCAAACTATTTTTGATGAAAAGTTTAATATTGATTATTAAAATTTTATTTAAAATTAAAAAAATATTAATGATTTATAATAGGAAGAATATTATGTAATAAAAATATATAATATATATTTTTATATTCTTAAATATATTTTATAGGAAATAAAGAAGTAAAATTCTATAAATAACATAACTATTAATAATATCTCTGGTTATTTCTAGAAAAGTAACGAAGATACATAAAATATGAATTTATAAAATAAAACATAAATACTTTAGTTAATAAATGGATAAACTAAATATTTTAATGACTAAATAATAAGTATTTTAAAGTTTAAGTTTACAAATGTTGATGAGTTTTCATGTATTTTTAAAAAATTAGGGAACTAAATAATTTTATAATTAAAGAAAATATAAACCAATTAAAAATTTAATATAAGTAAATATATTTTTATTATTTATATTTTTTTTTGTTTTCTTAAAAAAAAAAAAAAAAAAAAAGTATTAAATAATTAAAAACAAATTTAAATTTTTAAGAATTTAATGAAAAATAAATAAAATTAATATAATTAAAATAATACTTTGTAAAAAAAAATCGAATATTTCTTTCTTAAATAGATAATAGAATAAAAATAAACTTTTTAAGGTTCAGAATACACTGCAAAGATTTTAGATGAATAACATGGAAATTTACACCTTAATATTAAAAATCTCAAAACTTTAAATAATGTAAAGTATTAATTATTCCAAAACTAAGATGATTTAATTCGTTTTTATTTCAAATAAAAAAATTAATTTGTTTTAAAATTATAACATTTGGAGACTGTTTTTATTACTGTTTAATCTTATAAATTCAAATTCAATTACTTAAATATTTCAGATGAGTTAAAACTATTAATAGTATTGGATATTTAACCAAAAGACTCTAAATCAAAATAATATAGAATATTTTTAAACTTTCTTGATATTTAAAAAATTAATCCTTAACTTCTTTCTGAAATCTATGATTAATTTTAATTTAAAAATATTTATAATTTAATTAAAGAATTAAGTAAAAATATCTCCTGTATTAGATATTATTTAGGATATACTCCTATATTTTTATTTTGTAAGAATTTTTTTTTTTGTTATTTTATTTTTATAATATTTTAGAAGTATGTAATATAATAAGTATAAGTGAATAATTGAATAATAAATAAAATAATACTGATTTGAATTTGAAAAATAATAGAAGAACTTCAAATATGATTTTACTTAAACGAATTTTAAAAAATAGTTATAAATATAATAATTAAATAGAATATTTAAAAAATTCATTAAGTAAGCATGATTTTGAATTTAATTAATAAAATAAATAATATAAATAATAATTTTTAAAAAATTAAATACCCTAAAGTCGAATAATATTATAAACAGCAAAAAGAATAGGAAATAATTATGCTATATTTACAATTATAAGAGTAAAAAATAATCAACAAATATATAATAATATCATAATATCAATAAAAAAAAGGATGTTATTATATAAAAGTGGATTTTTCATATATATTTTCCTAAATCTTGTAGAAATATAAATTGTATTTTTACAGAAACAGAATTAGAAGAATTAAAAAATGATTTTATTTTATAAAATATTTCTTTTAAAATAATGTTCTTTTCAGAAAATCCATAATTTAAGCCTTTTAAAACTTACCTAGAATTTTGTAGAAGATTAAATATTAAATTGCCTAATTTTAGTTAGCCTTTATAAGACAATAACGAAAGCTTAAAAATAATATTAGAATCTTAATAAAATACAAGAAAAAGAAGTTTAACAAATTAATATTTTTTATATAATAATAAAAAAAAAAAAAATAGATTTTAAACTCAATCCTGGAAAAAACATACTCTAATAAATAATATTGAAAAACATTAAATAAATATTAAATAAAAAAACATAATATATCAAAATAGATCAATTAACTCATAAAGCAAAGAAAAGAGAAGAAAATTTGATAAAATTTAAATAAATAACTGACTAATAAGACAAAATATTCTAGATTTAATAAATTAGATATCGCAAAAAACATATTAATAAATTAGTAGAATAAAAAATTTGGGAAAATATAATATTAAATAGTTCCTTTTAACTTGATAAATCATACCAATAAACTGCCTTGTAAATTGGGAATGTAAAATTGACAATAAAAGAAATTATGTTTAGTGATTAATTAGCTATAAAAAAATAAGGGTAATTTTTTATTCAAATTAGTATTGAACTATTTAATATTTGCCATAATCCTTCTTTATTAGGATATAAAAATGTCTATATTTAATACATATTATTAATAATTTAATTTTATATATATATATAAAAAAAAGGATGAAAATTTATAAATAACATTATAAGAAAGTAAAAAAAATATTTTAGATTTTTATTTTACAACAATAGAGTTCATTCCTTATTAATCAACATCTAAATTTAATTTTTTAATAAATAATTACAGTATAAATTAATAAGAATTATAAAGTTTAGAATTAAACCTAAGATAAATTCTAAATTTATATATAGCGGAAGGTTTTGCCAAATTTCAATCAAATTATTTGAATTAAAAAATAACTTATTCTGATTTAAAAGTTTTAAGTAGTTTTCTTGTTTATAAAATAAAATCATAAGGATTTATAAATTTAACATAAAAAAATAATAAACATTTCCAAAAAAATTTAAAAAGTGGTACTATATTCAGAAATATTAAAGAAAAGTTCATTTTTTTAAGAATCGGAAAGAAAATAGAAGAAAAACAATAAAATTAAAAAAATAATAATGATTAGACTACTATAGCATAAAAAATAGTTACATTTTAATTAATGGGTCAAAATTATAAAAAACCAAAAGCAACTTAAGACTTATTAAATAACAATAGTAGTTTTTGTTAAAAGTAAAAATAAAATCACTAAAAAAATAATTTTTAATTTCAAAACTTTAGCTAAACATTGAAAATATAACGCGAATCTAAACCTAAAAATATCATTATAAATTCTAATAATGTTATTTATATCTATGATTGTATTGTTGATGTCAAAAACAAAATTATTTTAAGAGTGCTTTACTATATTAATGATAGTTGCTTTAGATTTATTATGTTTAAAAATGGATCTTAGTGCTCAGTTATTAGATTTCATAATATTGAGTATTTTCAAAAAAAATAAGGTCTTTTTAAAATATATATCAAAGCTGAAATGTATAATACTATTATTTAAAGAGCTGCCTTAATTATGAAAAAAAAAATGAAAAAATTGTTTTATTTGTAATATAATTTATTTTTGAAAACGAATTGATTTATTTTTATAAACTATATACAAATATTTTTTTTTTTTTTTATAAATATATCCATTATAAAATTTCATTTTTTTTATTTTAATTTAAATATATTTATTTATTTAAGTCTTTAACTTTTTTGATCTATATAATTAGTATTTTATATAAAATAATATTAATTAATAGAAATAAGTATATAATTTAATAATCAATTTTTTTGCTGACGATATTATAATTAATTGTATTATCAAAAAATAAAATAATATAGAAAAAATTATAGCTATAATATAATTTTTATATAGAATTTTTTTAAAAAAAATATTATTATTTTTATTTTATTTTTATCACAATTATATTATTTATGTGTTTTATTTCTTTTTATCAACAAAATAAATAAGAATTATTTTATTTTATATACTAATTACTATTACAATATATTTTATATAACTTTTATATATTATTCTTGTGAAAAAAAAAAAAAAACATAAAAAAACAAATGCAAAATAAAGAAGATTAATAAAAATAATAATAGTTTAAAAAGCTTGCAGAAATCGGATAAGGAGCTTTTGGAACAGTATACAAAGTTATAAAACATTCAGAAGAGAATGATCCTTAACCAAAATTATATGCTTTAAAAAAAATAGAGAAAAAAAAACTAAATAGAGTAATTAAAAAAAAAAAAAAAAAAAATTTTTGGGAGGTGTTATTGGGGAAGGGGGTGGGTTGGGTAGCAAATATAAAATTTAATATATAAAATTTTTATAAAAATTTATAATAAATAATTAAATAAATAGGAGAAAAAATCTCATTAAATTTATATGGAAAAAATATAAATGTATTTCAATTTTCCAGGAATTCCGAAATTATCTAAATGCTATAGTGATTAAAATTATATTTATTTTGTTTCAGATTTTGCAGAAGGAAGTAACTTTTGCACTTTCATTCGTTTAAATTGTAATATATAAATTAATCTTTAATAAAAATTATTAACTATAAAGACTTATAGAATTATAACTTACACAAGAAATTATACAATTTTATGTTGCTGAAATGGTTTTAATTTTAGAATATTTACATACTTAAGGATTATGTCATAGAGATTTTAAAGTAAATTTAAAAAAAAATTATATATATAATTAATTATTTTTTATAATTATTAATTATTTATATTTTTAATTAAAATAATATGATTATGTATTATATATATAAAATAGTAAGAAAATATGGTTTTGACAAAAAACAAACATCTATAATTAATTGATTATGGAACTTTAAATGATTATTGTTACAATTTATTAAATGATGGAGTAAAGAAATTAGTAGAAATGAAAAATAAAAAAAAAAAAGAATGCTATAGTTAGTCTAATGTTCCAGATGAATAAGAATTTAGAAATCGTTTACCTACGTTTTGTGGAACTCCAGAGTACATTTTTAAATATTATAGAAATATTTTAAAAATAATTATTTTTTATAAATAAAAAAAATATTTATAAAAAAAAAAAGATATTTAAGTCCAGAAATGCTAGAAGAAACAAAATGCGATTTAAATGGTGACTTGTGGGCTTTAGGTTGTACAATTTATAAATTATTTACAACAAAAACACCATTTTACGATAAATATGAAGTATAAATATACGATAAAATAAAACAAGTTGAATATAATAAAAATAATGAGGTAAAAATGAAAGAATATAGTTATTAATTTTTATATATATAAATATATAAATATACATAAAAATATATAAATATATAAATATATAAATATATATTTATATATACATATTTATATATGTATATATATATGTATTATTTTATAATGAATTAAAAAAAAAGAAAATACCTTTAGAAGCTTAAGATTTAATTAACTAATTGCTTGTATTATAACCAGAAAATAGATTAGGAGGATTATTAGTTACAGATGATTTGATCAAAGAGCAAGTTCAATAAAGTTATTAAAAGTTGAAAAGTCATGCGTTTTTTTAAGGAATTGATTGGGATAATTTATATAATTTATAACCTCCAGAAACCAAATAATAATCTTTAAGACATGCTTTAAAGAATAAAACTGCTCCTCCTTAAATATTTAAATATAAATAATAATAATAACAACAAAAATAAGGAAATAATTTGAAAAAATATTCCTCATAATTAATTTAGTAACAATAAGAAGATATCTAAAATAATTAAAAATAAAATAATAATAATATTTAAGATATCTAATGTATTAGCTAGTAGGCTTTTGCTGAAGATTACTAAGATAATTAAAAATTTTAATTAGAAGTTTTAGAAAATATAAATGCTATATTCTAAATTGATCTTTTTAAAATTAAATAATTTGTAATTTCATTTAGATCCCTTAAACGTATACTTCTTTTTGACCAAAAACCTATTATTATATAATATTTTGATCTTCATAAACCTACTTTGAAAGTATTTTATTTATATATTATATTTTTTAATAATTTAATTATAAAAAGAATATTATTATTATAAATGAAAATACTGAAATTCAACTTTTAGATAAAAAAATAGTCTTTTAAGATAAAGAAAAGCATATGTTTTGTGTAATAATAATAAAAATTATTTATATTTAAAAATAATATATATAAAAAGCACAATGATCATAATTTATGTAATGAATTTTATTAATAAATAAATAAATTAAAACTAAAATACAATTACCAAATAAACTAAGAATAATAAAAAAGTGATAGTTTATTAAAAAATTCACAAAAAATGATTTAGTCATTAGAAAAATTAAATAGTGAAGGATCTGATATTGCTGAAAATGAAGTTAGCGTATGCAGTTATTCCGACAATTTTAATATAAGTTAAATTTTGATAAAAAACTATTTAGATTAGAAAAATAACTATAGTTTAAAGAGAAAAATAAGCTTTTCTAGTGAATCTTAATAATAGAAATATGAACTAAACATATAAATATTAACTAAAAGCGAAATAAAATGAAAAAAATAAATAAATAAAGAAATAATTTATATAAAATATATATTTTTTTTTAAAAAAAAAAATTATATTTTTATTAATATATATAAATTTATTATTTTTTAATTAAAAATAAAAAAAAGCTCAATTATATATATTTATATATAATAAAAATCATATATCTTTATCAAAGTTATAAAAACTATCAAAATATTCCATTAATGTAAGTGATAATTTGTAAATTTCTTCACTTCCATTCATTTATAAATTTTCAATATATAATAGAATATTGTGATTTTTAATTTAGTTCATAATTTCCTAATGTCTGTCCTAATTTTTATCTTTAAAAAATAAAACAATGCAGTGAATAATATTTAAAATAATCAAAATCGAACTATTAGACAGAGTATATTAAACTAAACATTTCGATATAACCAAAATAATTTTATATTAAATTATATTTTCCCAAAAAACAGTTTCATTTAAACAATTTGAAGAGCAAACAGTCAAAAGCATTTTAAAAATCTCCTCTCTAACTTAATATTATTCTTCTGGAATCCTTTGAATAATCAATTAAATAAGATCCCACAAAAACTAGTAATGTAAAGAAAACTTGGCAATATAATGTGCACATTTTACACATTCTCTCCTAATAATATATTAATCGAATTTAATTAACGACAAAAGTGTACCGGGCAAAAAATTAATAGTGCTTTAAATAAAAAACTCCTTAACAGAATTCGAGCTAAATAATAACGTTTAATTAATAATTTTCATCAAAGGAGTTGTATATATTAAATTTATTTCCTCCAAACTGCTTTTTAAAAACTCAAAAAGCCCTTCTTAAAAAAACTAAAAGAAAATCTAATCAGTATATTAAAATTATTTAATTGAAACTAAAAAAATCTAACTATAAGACCAAATTAAGTCACAATTAATTTCCTAATCTTCGAAAAAAATAAGACAGCCCTAATGAATATTTTTTAATTTCGTAAGATCATAAGGGCTCATTTAAGTAAAGAAATCTTTCGAAACAATACTTAGACACCATGAAAGTTTACAAAAAAAATCCCTATATTATAAATCTATAGGTATTTATAAAAAAATATCTAAAAGTTCATTATGAAAATTTAATTTTTCTATAAAATGTTATTGTATTTCTGGTATAGTAGCAATCAAATTTCCAAAGCAAGAAATTAAAGGTTCCAAAATAGCTAAAAATTTCTTATTTTTTTTAAAAAAAATAAACAGTTTTTCTTTAGGAAAATTTCTTTCGATTTCTTTACATTAATCTATATTACCTCTCGTTAATCCTCCTAAAATTTTCATTGAATAAATCATTTGAATATTCTATTCTTCAAATACCTCTTTATCTAATATTTACCTAAGCATATTCATAAATTTTGTGTCTTTTAAACATGTGCTGATTGACACGTATATTTCTTGAATTGTATATGGAGAATTTGAATCATCGTTAAAAAAATTTAATAAATTTTAAAATCCTTGGACAATATAAATAGGATTTTATTCATTTTAGACTATCGTTTGAATTAATTAACAAACTTATTCGACTTGTTCTTGGTTGTTTTTAACTTATTCTTATTAAGTTTATTATCTTTATTATTCTATGAATTAATGGAAGTTTTTCTATTAGTTTTATTAACGGGTTTAATTTAATAATTATTATCGTTTTTGAGAACGAATTTGTATTTGGTGATCTTCTACTAATTGTCTAATTTATTAAAGTGGTTAATATTCTTACATATTTTTAATTTTTTTTTTTTTTTATGATTTTTTTTTTTTTCTTTTTACTAATATTATTTTAAAATAAGTTTTACTAAGAGGGACTTTTTTATAATTAGTAAAATTATTATAAGATAAAATATTTATTAATATATAGTAATTTATGTACTTTTTATTAGATTTATTTTATATTTTAAAGAAATTGTATTAAATCATTTTATTAGAGTGGATAAAAAATTAATTATTATTTTTATTTTTGCAATTTATTAGAATATTTTATATAAACAAAAAAATTATTTGTTCTTATCCAAATTAAGAAGACTAATTTTTAAACTTTTAGAAGTTTAAAAAATATTATATAATACAAATCAAAATATATTAGAAAAGTAATAAATATACATTAAATTATTTTATAATATAAAAAAAATTATTATTTTTAAAATATTAAAAAAATTAAATATATTAATATTTAATTATTTTATTTGTATTATTTTGATTCAGGATTTATTTTATTCTGAAAAATTAATAATTAATCAATGAAATTAATTAGAAAGAATTTTTTTTTAAATTATTAAAAATAACTATTTAATATATATATATATATAATATCAAATTTATTAAATTAAATTCATAGATATATTTAAAAATATTATTCATTATTTTATAAAATTTAACTGATTAAAAATATAAATTGTAATACTATATTTCTAATAAATTTATTTGATAAGAAATATTTTATATATAATATATGAATATCAAATATAATATATTTGTTTGATAATTGATTTCTTTAGTTTTTCCATTACATAATAATCCTAACTTTCGAACAAAATATGCCAAAATTAAATTAAAACTTTTATGTTTTTATATTTTACTTTAATAAAAAAATAAATTAAATAATATTTTTTTTTTATTAATAATAAAAAATAGTTCAAAATATTGAATAAAGAACTAAAAAATTATTTTTAAAAAAACAGAGATAATAGATCTATATATAATTTAAAATATCTTTCTCAGTTATTTTTTTTTTTTTTAAATAATTAATATTTTTGTTTTAATAATAATTCTTTTTTTTTTTAAATATTTTGAAAAGTTTTATTATTTTTATATAAATAGTATATATTTTATTATAATATTAAATTATTTATTGTAAAATAAATTACATATCATTTATTATAATTAATTATTAAAAAATAAAATCCGTTTTTAAAGGTGACAAAAATTAATAAAGTAAAAAAACAAATAAAAACTACATAAAAAACGTGATAAATATATTTAAAAAACGAATAATTAAATATATTTTTCAAAATCAAGAGAAAAAAAAAATTAATTAAAAGTATAACAAAACAAATAAAATAAATAATTTTTAACAAAAAAAAAAAAAATATGAGATACACTGCATTACTCTTATTAACTATTATTTGCATCAACTAAGTTGCTTCCGTTTCTTTACGTAAAAACATCAATAATTAAGCAATTGACAATCTCCATTAAAGTAAAAAAAAAAAAAAAAAACCGAAAAAATAATAATAAAAAAAGCTTGGTAAGAAAAATGCCTTCGCTTCCAGAATTGCTGCTGCTGTAGAATTACACTTAACTTCTGGTGGAGCAGTAGACTAAGCTGTTGATTTAGTATAATAAGCTTTAAATGATGTATAATCAAAGAGAAAAGACTTATAAACTGAATTTGATAACTTCGTATCATAAACTAAAGAAAAAATCGGATAAGACTTATTATAATTAAATGAATTAGACGCATAATTATCTGTAGTTAAAGGAGAAATCCAATAATTAGAATCCGAAATTAAAAGCTTAGAAAGCCAAATTGAAAGATTAACCAAGGAAATTAACGAATTGAATGAAAGAGAAAAATTAATTGAATAAGCAAGAGCCAATGACATTAATACTTGGAACAAAAGAAACGTAAGAGACTAAAATGCATTAGAAGCCTTAGGTTTAATTATTGATGACTTAAACAGATTATTAGAAAGAGGAAACGTATTTTTATAATAAAACAGCGATTAAGTTAACAGAGCGATGAAAAGAATTCCCTTAAACAATCCTATTAAAGCTTTAGTTACTTTATCAACTAAATTCGACGAAGCTAAATTAAGAGTCGTTATTGATAAACTTACCTAAATATAAGATGCTGTCAGAAACGGAAACAATGAAGATTCTTTAAGAGAAAAATAATCCAAAGAACACTACGAGTTATTAATATAAGAATTAATTTCAGTCAGAAATGCCAAACTTGAAGAAAAAGCTGTAGCTCAATCATCCTTAAAAGATAAATAATCTAGATTAGGACTCAAGTAAACTGAAGCTGAAAACTTAACAAATCTTATCAAATAAGTTTAAGCCCATAAATAAGGATTAGAAGATGCCTTAGCCAGAGAAACTCCTATTTATTAAATGAGATTAGATGAAGCGTAATTAATTATTTTATTCATTTAATTAAAAAAAAAAAATTATATATAGTGATTAAGCTATTTAAGGAATTAGAGAAGCTTTAAGAATCCTTGAAGATCATAGAGCTTCTTTACATAGAGCGGAAAGTATTAGTGATGATCTCAAAAATGGATCTTGGGCAGTTTGAATTAAAGGTAGCCTTAATTTTATTGAATGAATATATACATATATTTAATTTTTAAGTCTTTATCTTAGATTTTAAAATTAAATTATATATGTATATATATATTACATCAAAAACAATTATTTTATGTCATCGGAAAATTATATTATAGATATATAAATTTTTATTGAAGAATATTGGATAAAAAACATTTTTTTATATTTATATAATTTCATTTAATTATATTATATTTATTTTTTAAAAAAATACAAAATAAAAAAATTATTGAAAACGTAAAAATATGAAATCGAAAAAAACATAAATAATATTCATAATAATATTTATATTGTAAGCATTAAATTTAACCAAATAGACAGAAATAAAAATAACAAATGAGAACGAAAAAACAATTCCAATAATAGTCGAATTGAGAAACCAACAAGATTAATCGATAAGATTCGAATCATATTCAGATAATACTTTAAATATATTAAAAAACGAAAAACTAATATATTAACATAAAGACGAAACAAATACACTAACAAGTAATTAAGAGTTAATAATATAAGGAGATTTATCAATAAATTAACTATATTATAAGGATTAATAATAATGGAGTTTAATCAACTTCGAAGATTTCCAATAAGAAATAAAAGGTTGGTCTTAAAAAACAGTATCTTCTTGTGAAAATAGCGAGAATTTATTTTTGGGAGGACATTGTAATTTCGGGGCAACAACAGTATCCAAAAAATATGAAAATTTAACAAAACACGAAAAAATCATGATAAAATTTAATTTCCATTTCATTGACGATTGGTAAGGAGAGATTGCTTTTGCAAAAATTAATGGAAAGACTATATGGCATGAAAGTTATGCTTGGTGTGGTAAATTGTTGTCTTTTTAATGTAAGTTATCAGGAGTTAATGCTTGTGGAAAAGAAATACCTGATAGAATATCTCATAATGTTTAATTTGAATTTATAAATACTGATGATTAGTTTATTTTGGAAATTGGTGCTTATTTAAAAAATAGAAATTCTTGTGATGTTTCTTGGGGTATTGATGATGTTTAAGTATATGTTATTTGAATTTTTTTTTTGCTATTATTTAGTATAAATTTATTTATTAATATTTTTTATGTATATTTTATTTTTATGTGTTTATTTGTAAATATTTTTTTTTAATATATATTATATAGTATATATTATTTTTTTCTTTATTAATTTATTTATAGTTTATTTTTATTAATTATTTTTATATGTATTAATCTTAAATAATATCAGATTCTAAAATAAGTCATGTTGGGCGCCCGTTTATTATAAAAGGAAGAAGAGAATAAACTCTAATTCCCTAAACTGATCCTTCTTTTGATGAAGACGTAGAAACAAAAGTAAGTTTTACTTAAGGATCTAATGCATTTATAACAGTAAAAAAAAATAAAAAATTGTGATTATCAAAATTAATTTTAATCTAAAATATATAACAATGATAATAAAATAGTTTGTTCTAACTTATGAAAGCATAAAAAATTTTTATTATGTATTTTATTATTAAGGAATTTGTAAGGATTATTCATTGGTTATGATTTATTATGTGTGCGCTAATGCATTTTGGGTTTTAATAAGTATACTAGGCTTCTTTTTTATACGTTCAAGATCGCCAAAAAGAGTTTAATTTTATTTTATTTTACTTATAATTGGATTTTTATCCAGAATCATTATTTACATAATTATGTATGATACAATGAAACATTATATAACTGAAGAAATTGCTTAAAATTGCTATTGTAAAAGTATTTATGTTAAAGATTTATATATGTTTTAAGCAGTTGTGGAGGCTATATTTTTGCTTGTTTTACTATATTATGTTAAAATTATACATAAATATTTAATAAGTAATTTTTTTAATTATTAAAGATAATAAATAAATACAATAATCTCTATTTTTTAATTTTTTTAATTTTTTTTCTTTTAAAGAATGGGAAAAGGAAAAATCAGATTTTTTTTTCGGAAAATAATGAAAATATGTAATTTTATGTTTAAATATATTATGTGTATTTTTTTTATAGGTTCGGCTTTTAAAAAAATTAATAATATTTTAATTATAAAAGTGTACTTTTTTTTATATATATATGTACTAATATATTTTTTATTTATTAATAAAAAATAATTATTTGTATTTTTCATTACTATATATATCTTTGTATCAAATATAAGTAAAATTATAAATTTTTATGTTTTCTATAATCCTAGCTTTTTTTTTAATTCTCTTAAAGTTTTCAATTTCAATTTTTATTTGAAAAAAATCGAACTTTATTTAATATATAAAAAGTTTTAAATATTTAAATAAATATAATAATTGAAATAAACTAAAATTGTTAAAATTACTTATATAATAATTATTTAGGCAATCATAATATAAAAAATATGCATTTAAATAATATTATGATAAGAAAAAAAATTACAAAAATGTTATTTATAAGAAAAATATAAAATAATATTTATATAAATTCGATATTTTTAGATATAATGTATAAATTTCATTATTTCTTCTTTTCTTAAATATATATATATATATATATATATATATATATATATATATATATATATATAGAAAAAAAAAAAACAACAAAAAAATAAAAAAAATACAAATAAAATAAAAATTAAGAATTTCAATAAGGAATAAACCTTCTCATATCATATTTATTTTTATTTAAAATGAATAAATCATGTTCAGATTCTTACATTTTTTTTTAAAAGAAATGCTTAGCAGCTAGAGCAGCTCTTTCTCTTTTTTTAAATTCAGTTTAATCTATTTTTGCAGTCTATAATAATTCTGTATTTTCTAAAATTTACAAATTATATTATTTTTCACTTTCTTCCAATTTCTAAGCAAAAAAATCTCTCTCTTCTTTTAGTTAAAGTTCTTGCCATACTTTTAAATTTGGAACCAAACCTTTAATCTTTTCTTCAGCTTGTTAATTAAGCTCATATTTCTCTAATTCATTTCCTTTTATTTCAACATAACCCATTTTTGCACAATCACCACGTCTTCTTTTTTCCATAAATCTTACGTTTATAAAATGTCTATTTTTATCTCCCATTTTTGGTGCTATTTCCAATACTAATTTTTTTAAAGCTTTTTTAGTATGTAACATACTTTATACATGTCTTATTGCAGATATATTATTATTTTTAACATATTTTACTGCATTTAATAATAATCTTTCAGCATATGGTCTCAAGTGTTAACATTTTGTTTTTGTAGTGTTTATTCTTTCATGCATTACTAATTAAGTTAATTATGTCCTTAGTAAATGCATTCTATTGGAATGTGTCCTATTTAAATTATAAAGTTAATTTCCATTATTTTTAATTCCTCCCATTTTTTTTATGTGAAAAATAAATAAATAAAATAGTTTATAGATAAAATATAAAAAAATATAAAAATTAATATTTTAATTTATATACAAAATATATATTGAAATTAAAAATAAATATATAAAAAAATATTAATAACTATTGTAATTAAATAATTATAAAAAAATAATGTAAATATTTATTAATATAAATAACTATATATTATTGTTGATAAAAAAATTGGATCATCTTCAAAATTTATATATAATTAAAAATTCAAAAATTAATGTATTTTTTTATTGTATAACTTTAAAAAAAATACAAAAAAAGATTAAATTTTTTAAAAATCAATAAGAAATATAAAATAAATAAATTGAAAGAAAAAACTAATAAATATTATATATATATATATATATATTATATATATATATATTTATTTATTAAAATATATCATATATAAAAATATTTTAAAAATTATATGAATATATTTATTAAAATAAAATAAATTTTTTTATATTAAATATTATGAATAAAATAAATATCTATAAACATATTTATATCTATATATTTTTATATTTTATGCTTTTATTAATAAACACATTTTATGAAAAAGTATTTTTACATATAATTTTTAAAATCTTTTATATATTAAAATACTATATAAATATATAATAAACATATACAACATATTTATCTTCTAATAAGATTACTAATAATTAAAAATAGATATGGATACATATAAAATATATGCATATGTACATATATATATATGTATATATTTATATATATATATATATATATATATATTCTACATATATTCTAATTTTTTCTCTCTAATTCTAATTTTTATATTTATAGTAAAAAAAAAAAT